AAAAAACGAAAAAATTGACAACACAGATAGAAATGTTTGTCCGTGCGCCACGGGAGTGCGTGTTTTTAGGCTAGTGGCGTCTCTTTGCTGCAGGCCCTACTGCTGCAATCCGCTGCGTTTGGTCACTTTCTCCATGGTCTGGGACTGTTTCGCGCAAACATTCCAACAATGGATAAAAGAGACGCTCAACTTGCCAAAGAACGGTCACAGGCGTAGACTGCTACATTTTTTGAGTTTTTCTATTTTTCGGAATTCAAGTTTCAATGTCCGCTGCCAGAGTTGCGCGAGAGGACTGCTGTGCCTCGTGGTGTGTTCCCATGAGCAACATCAAGAGCCTTGTTACCTTTGCGGCCATGAAGAAAACGCTGTTTACGTCTGTGGTTGACAACCGTGCTGTGTTTGCGGCACACGCGGACTTCACAAGAAATAAAACTGCTGTGCTGCAGTTGGCTGGTTGACGGAAAAAAAACGCTCCGTTGCCACCACAACTTACCGAATTATCAACGGATGCGAATGCTGTTGAATGTTCGTGGGGGGATCTGTTCTCCTTGATTCAGTTGCAATGTACCATGTGTGTTGAGCTCCGGCAACTTGCTGGTCTTTCAATATCGTGTATGTTCACAATAGACGAATAACGCGCAAAATTCTTGATGGAAAAGACACCCACGCGCAACTAAACAACAGACCGCGAAAGAGGAAAACACCCTCCCCCCCCCCCCCCCCNGGTGTTTGCCATCGGGATTGGGTTTTCGTCGCTTGGCAACGACGTTGTCAAACAGCACCCCCCGGTGTCTGCCATCGGGATTGGGTTTTCGTCGCTTGGCAACGACGTTGTAAAACAAGCCAATTCACTTCGTGAACTCGGCAACCAGGTTACCGTTTTTTTTTTTTTCCTCCGTTTATTTTTTTTGGGCGGTAACCATAATGATGGTTGAGTAGATCATGTTGTGCGGGGTGAACCCTCACTCCGCGCAAGGGGGATGATCGCACCACGTTGTGTTAAAATGGTCAAGCACCCTCGAGGCAGTTACACAGTGCTTACAACTGTCTCTGGAAGTGAAAGCACCAGAAAATAAATTAAGTCATACGCAGCTGTTATTCGTACGCAAGGAAGTAAGCACAAGATGCCGAAAACCCTTAGCAGGATGCAGCGCACCCTTCATGCGACTCGCCGAATATCTCACGGCGCTTCGCGCTTGGTGATGTGAGAGCCTGGTCCGGTGAGAACCCGGCGTGCTCCAACCCGGCTTTGTAGGGATGCGAGGTCAATGGTCTAACTAACGACTACGGCATGGACGACTATGAGTACACTCGCTAGAATGTGTTCCTGTTCAGTTTTCATGTATATCTGAAGGATTTGTTTGTCCGGATTCGCAGGCTCTTGAAACACAGCCAGTGCCGGCGACTTTCGGCGGCCAGTACACGCACCACCAAGGTCTCGCGAGACCTACGCGTAGCGGGAAATGTACCGACGGGTCCTCCCTCTGAGGGCCATGCAGAAGAAAGTGTTGAAAAAAGGCTATCCCACCAGAGAAATCAAATTGACGGTTCCGAAGAGCGTAATCGTACCGCCGCTAGAGTACGCCGGAGAAGTATGGGAAGGAAATAAGAAGGTAGTGAAAGAACTCGAGGCGGCGCAGATGAAAGCAGCGAAAATCATCCTAGGATGCTCCAAGCGCACAAGTAATGCAGCCGTCAGGGCAGAATTGGGGATCCAATCCCTACGGTCGGGAAGAGACGCGAGGAAGCTGACATGGCAGTATCGCATGTGCGGGATGGGAGAGGAGAGGTTGCCGAGAATTGTATGGGAGGCGAAGTGGGCAAACAAAAAGAGGGGTAGACAACCCACGGAATGGGTCAAGGTTGTAGAGGACGTATGGAAGGGGCTCGACATCGACGAAGATGAAACGCTGGAAACGGAGGGTCTACAGGGGTTCAAGGAGAAGATATCTGTTGCTTGTGCCGAGAGAGAAGAACAGAATCTGAGGAAAGAATCCAAGGATAAGGAGGGTCTAGAAGTGTACGGAATGTTGAAGGAAGGAATAGGGTTCAAGGACTACCTACATGGACCAATGGATGCAGGAACAAAGCTTAAGGTCAAATTCAGGACCGGGGACATAGGCCTTCGAGAACGTCGACGAAGACATAGGACGGTAGACGAGGAAGACGACGAGTTCAAATGTGATTGCGGCTTCGAATGCGAAGACCGTGTTCATGTAGTCGCGGAATGTCCGTGGTACAAGAAGGAGAGGGAATTGTACGTGACTGAGCTGGGAGAAAGAGATGGGACGTACAGGGAGATGTTTGAGGCATGGAATGAAGAGGAAAGGACGGTAGCTGTTCTGGGGTATAGGAAGTGGGTTGAAAAGGCGGGAGGGGATATCGTTAGGATAGATAGACTAGGGAAGACATTTTTGAGCCACTTTTGGCAAAGTAGAAAGGAACGATTGGCCATCGGTGATCGGTCCTGTGGGAACAATGCTCCGTCCTCTCGAGGACGCGTGGTCAATGGTCTAACCGCAAAGGCATGCAAAACGTAAGAGTACGACCCCCCACCAGAAAAAAAATATATATAGCCACCGAAAAGGTCGAAATGATAAATATGCATACAGACAACCCGGCACGAAAGGAGACTTTCAAGATATTCCTCTCGAGAGAAAGCGAGACCGTCCAACAAGCCAAGCTCTAGTTTTCCCGGTGCCTCCTTCCATCGGTGGTCGCGCTTGCCCCTATTTAGTAGCGCTTCACCCACAAGCACAGATGGAGACGCGTTGCAACTTCCCTATTGAACCTTCCTGCGGTATCCTCCCAGATTTCTACCCACCGCTACCCCATACATCCTCTCTACAAAGCACTGACTATGATTGTCCCCGTGTACCCCGCCACCTGCGCGTGTGCTCGTTGGGGGGGGGTGCACTTGAACCGCCAAACACTTACATACCCCTCACACACATATATCCCATACGCGTATCCCCCACCGAGGACGCACAGATCGGACTCATATCCAAGAGCCACAAACAGGCCCAGAGGGAGGAACCCTTCTGTGTGACCTCGGATAAGAGCTCCTCCACGGCAGAAATGCTGGCGTTGTTTTGAAGGGAACAAAATATAAATGCTGTGCACACCACTACAGACGACTGGGGTGCCATCTGGCGCGCGGCATCAACAGGTTGCGGATGATGGGCATGACTTTCGCCCCTCGCTGTCGTGACAAGTCAAAGCCTTTGTAAAGACCATGGGGTGCTGACCCAACTGAGCTCAAAGGGTTGAACTTTCTGGAGGTTGGCAAACAAGCAGGGTCCAAGTTTTGGAAAGGACCACCAACATTAGTTCTGCTAAAAGGTAAAAGGCGTGTTTTTTTTCCCACAGAGTACGGAGCATTATCTGTACCTTGCGCATGCTCTTGCTCAAGTTGTCGCTCATGCCAGCAGGTACCGCATAGAAATATGTTGTAACGTGTGTTTTGAGATTGAGCTTCTTTTCTGAAAGCATTTTCAAAACGGTATGCGTACCGTGAGCGACGCAAGATAGCATACCCAAAGAAGAAAGTACACACGCCAAAAGCTGTACTTCAGGATAGCACTCCCGGCGAGGGTATTTTTGGACACAGAAAAAATGATCAATGCACCGCATCTGGTAACACACGATAACACACCCCCTAACATGTTTCGTCGCAGAGTCATGCAACCGTAGGATAGCACGAAATTGCCCACAGGACCTTCTTGTGTTTGGGTTATTCAGATGAAACACCAAATAGGAATTTTCGAAACACCTGTGCCGAGATTGGACTCGAAGTGTATTTCATGTAGCCCATCGGTTGCCTGACGGGTCGCACGTTCATATTGTGTCAGTGTCCATTCCAGGCTGAGATATTGAGTTTCTCAAGCTGAAGGCTCAAAAGGGATTCGTGCACCCCTACCGTTGCATGAATCCGCACTTCACACGGAGCCCCCGTTTTCGCACCTGGCGGTACCGACGTGCACGGCTCGGCTTGCATGCACACACAGCTGGTAAGCAGACAACCACATACAACACGGAAGTGGAGGAGGTAGACCACCCTGCTGGAAACAACCGTGCTGGAAATGACGATTGGGCGGTGCTAGCAAAGTTTGCAACGGCGCCCCCGTGAACGATTGCGTCATTTTTTCGAAAAAAAAACACCACCAAACCAAGTATGAGACTCCAACAGGACCTGCCGCCGGACGTGCTGCCGAAGCCCGCACAACAGCCTCCCGCTGAGGTCCGCACAACATTGTCGCACAACGGCAGCACCCCGATTCATCACATCCTCTTCGAGGAATGTGGGATCACCAGTTTGTTGGCAAGTTTGGTTATCACAACCTTATGATGTGTCACAACCCCGATTACGAGCTTCGTCAGCGTGCACTTCATCACAACGTTGACACAAGAGAGCACACCCCTTCTAGGATAGCACACCCGGTGATACGTTCGCTGAATTCCACAAATCACGGCGGTGTGCTTTCTAGTGTCACTTGCGTTATCGGCCAGACTAGTCCGAGGATGAACTTTTTTGAGTCAGAGCGTATGATGAAACGACAGATATTTGACATACCCCTGGAGATAAGAGAATGACTGACATGCCTGCTGGACAGAGGTAAGTGTGAAGAAATGCTAAAAATTGTAGCCGAACTTTCTTGTTTTCGTGGATTCTCACTGTGGACGAAAGCCTTGAAATGGTGCACTTACCGCTTCCAAGCATGGCAACCCGCAACATTGTAAAAATCTTCTTTCTAGCTGATCTAAGGATAAGGGGGTTTGTCTCTGCAATTTTTTGTGCCTCCTCACACACACCATTTCGCTGATTTGGTAGGCTTGAGGGAAAGAGACACATATTTGACAATAGACAGCCTGGAGCACATTTTCATACTTCTTTCGACCCTTCAAGTTGTTCTTACTCCCTCTCTCTCTCTCACTCTCTCTCTCTCTCTCTCTCTCTCTCTCTGCTGCTGCTGCCATCTGCCGTCGACAATGAACGTCAGGGCACAACACCGGTACCGATACAAGCAACAATGACAACGACGACAGGGGCAGCGCACGGTGCTTGGAAGCCATCACCGTCGTGCTTAATCAATCGTCGCCCAAGGGAGGAATCAGAGAACCCCCGTTTATCTCATCCACGTTGCAGCTGCAATTAGCGTGCTTGGAGCTATGCAGGGTGTGTCGAAGCCTGCCATCCCTGCACATCACGGTCCGGGAAACATTGCCTTCAAGCTTGTGGGTTGCTCCGACTTCCTCCGACGACGCCGGCGATCACGACGACGGCGTTCTCCTTCCTTCTCTCCGCCGATGCTATCCCCGCGGGGGCATGCGAGGGAAAGACGGCGTGACCCCGAACCGCGTCCCGCCCCTTCTCCCATTCAGCGTAACATGTGGGTACGCGAGCTTGCCTCTCTCTAGTAGTAGTCGCACGGCCGACCGATGGGCTGGCGTGGAGCGACTGCGCCTCGAATTTTCTGTCTCGGAGATTGAGAATTGGAAGGAATCGCCGTTGGTGGTGCTGCCGGGAAGACTCAAGCACCTGCTGCTTATCTCGAGCTACTTCGATTTTGTCCAAAACAGAATTGGGAACTATCGACTTCCGGTGGCGGTGTTGTCGTCGCCGCCGCCCCTCCTCCTCAAGCTTTTCGTCAACGGGAGTTTCGAGGTGCCGGTTGCAGACGTTCCGTGGCCCCCTTCTCTTATACAGATTTCTTTCGGATCTAGGTTTCAACAACGCTTGGGGAGAGGGGGGGCTGGCAGTGCTGTTGACGGTGTTATCAAATGGCCAGTGCACCTGCAGCAGCTGTCGTTCCGGCATCAATTCGAAGAGCCCATTGCCGAAGTCAGTTGGCCGTCATCGCTGGAGCGCCTCGCGTTTTTTGGGCCTGGCTTCAACGAGCCTCTTGCCGGTGTGGTGGCTTCCTGGCCGTCGCTGCGGAAACTCGTCCTCGGGAATACTTTCAACCAAACAATCGCCCAAGTATCGTGGCCGTCCTCATTGCAGGAGCTCTCCCTGGGCGAAGGATTCCACAATACCGTAGAAGAAGTCATATGGCCTTCTTCGCTACGAAAGCTGGATCTGGGCCAAAGCTTCAACCATCCCATCGCTGAAGCTACGTGGCCAGCCTCCCTGGAAGAGCTGGCGTTTGGAGGTTGTGGAGGCAGGTTCAATCATCCCATCACCCACGTTGCGTGGCCGGCATCCATCCGAGAGCTCACATTCGGGGCACATTTCGACCAACCCATCGCCCAAGCGTCGTGGCCGAGTTCCCTTCGAGCGCTCGCATTCGGGACACATTTCAACCAACCCATTGACAAAGTGTCATGGCCACCCTCCCTCCAGAAGCTTACCTTTGGAAAGTTCTTCAATCATCCCATCGCCCGTGTTTCGTGGCCGGATGCCTTGCGAGAGCTGGCATTCGGGGAAAGGTTCGACCAGCGCATCGTCCTTGTCAAGTGGCCGGCCTCCCTCCGATCTCTCGCGTTCGGTGAACGGTTCAACCAACAAATCGCCCAAGCATCGTGGCCCGATGCGTTGCAAGAAATCGAGTTCGGTGGGTGGTTCGCCCAACCGATGATCGGTACCGACTGGCCGATGAGCCTGCGTAAGATATACATCAGTAGGCGTTCTGTCTCGGGGAATCGCGGATCAGGCTGCGTGTCCGACCTCTGTGGAAAACGTGAGCTATCGCTCTTCCGTTACGTTTTGTGAGGTTCCATGTTTGCCCACTCTGCCCAAAAGGACGACCTTGCATGAGATGGGAGAGACCGGATAAGTTGGAAGGATGTTAGAGAAGGCAACGAGAGGTACTTACTCTCGGCGGAACAGTTGGCTAAAGTACGCAAAGGTTATCTCCCAACACCCTTTCTTTGGCGAAATTGAATGGAGGATTGGTGGCTCGCACGGCTGTTTGTTCCCCTCATTCGAGACGTTTCGGATGGAATCTTCGCTGAGTGTACCGCCCGCATCACCAAAGTAGTGATTCCCTTTTTCGGCTCTGGTGTGTGGTCGCTGTGTGAAGAAGAGTTGTGATGTTGTGTGGGTGCTGTGTGTATAAATGGGCATACAGCACGGCTGGATCTTCATGGTGAACGAGTTGTTGGTTGAACCGAGCAACGCGTTTCCTTGGTCAAACGAAACGGTCACGTACTCTTGTGGCGGCGATCTTCCCCGGTTCGAACTACAGGCAGCCTGCTGCCGTTGGGCGTTGGTGCCTGACTTTGCGATTCCTGAAAGACTTGGACAGTCGTCCACCATCCTCGTTCGTCTCATGTAAAATCTCAACCATTACTACCAACAACTCACTCGACGGTAGGTGGAGGCACAGCTAACGCGTTTATCGACAGATCGTTCATAGTTGGCTGGCTGTCAGAGAACAAACTTGATGAGAGTCCATCAGGAGTTTTTAGGGTCCAGCAATCCGGCCGAGAGAGGCTGATTTGAAGCAGCAGGCAACTTGCATCACACCCAGTGCCATTCTTGTTCTCATGCACCTCGAGTCTGCGCTCCCGACAGTTTTTGATTTGAGTCTCAGGCTGACATCGTATCTTCTGTTGCCCAACGCTTTGTCTAGGAGCTTTGCCTAGGGGGCGAGCTGCATCTATGTCGGGAGGGGGTACGGGACCGTTGCGCGTACATGCACACATGCGGTGAAATCGGAAAGAGAAAAGAGAGACGTTTCGGCTCGAAACGAAACTTTTCCCAGATGCAGGGAGATCGCAAGGTATTATTCTAGATTACACCGAGTGTGTAACTGCCATAGCTAAGTTGTCAGCGTTGAGGGCAAGTTCCACAGTGCTGAAGGCTTGCTCTGGCAGATAGGGTAGCACATGAGGGGGCTTTCGGAAAATGGATGAGATAAGTATCACACGCAAGAGACAGAGATAGCTGGAAGGCTGAAAGCAGAGAGAGAGGCAGGATGGGTAAACGCCTCTTCTCATTTTTTGGATATTGCAGAAACAGTGCCTCGCTCGTCCGGTGGATCCCATGAGGAAGTGCGATGTGCATGCACCGCCGTGCCAACTCAAAGGCCCTCTGTGATTAGAACGGAACTCAGGCTTTGGTGATGGTACTGGACTTTAGTCTGGTGGATTGTTGCAATACTCAACTGTAGACTGCAGTATCTCTTTTCGCCCCGCTCGACAGCTTGGCTCCGTGGAAAAGCGAAAAGTGTCCTCAAGCTTTCATCCCGGGGCCGAAAGACGGGGTCATGCATATCCCAACACACAACGGAAGGCTCGGAGAGAATATCGAGTAGACCTCCTTCCTTGTGCAAGGTCAAGAGCGATATAGAATTTTATATACATGGCAGTCCCAGCCGGACACTACACGGGTGGCCAACACACCGGGTTGTAGGGGCACTTTTGACAAACCTGAATCGAGATTTATTTTGGCACGAGTTGCAACCTCCCCACCTTGGGTAATCCTCGCAATGCAGCGATGTCCAGGTTGTGCAAGTTATACCCTTCTTGGAGGTTGCGCGTTGTTTACAAGCCGGATAGGGGGCAGGCTGCCGATGGTAGTGCAAGGTGTACCCTTCCTTGGTGGTTGGTGCACTGCTCACAAGCCGGATAGGGGTCAAGCTGTCGATGGCGGTGCAAGGTGTACCATTTCTTGTGGTTGGTGCACTGCTTACAAGCTGGACAGCGGGCAGGCTGCCGATGGCAGCGCAAGGTGTACCCTTCCTTGGAGGTTGGCGTCCCATGCACAAGTCGGTTAAGGGGAGGTTGCCTATGGTATGGCAAGGTGTACCCTTTGTTGCGAGTTGACGCGTTGCGCACAAGCCGGTGAGGGGGCAGGTTGCCGATGGTATTGCAATGCGTACCCTCTCTTAGAGATTGCGCCCGATGCGGCCGGTCTAGCTACGACAACTGCAGTGTTCAACACTGTAGTGGCGGGTTCAATTCCCCTGCACTACCTTTTTGAGGGGGAAATGGACAAAAGTGGGTATACCCACGCCACTCTCGGACAAAAGTGGGTACTCGAATATCCAGCGCGCGCGCGCACTCTCAAGGCAACCTCCAAACGACTCAAAACCCCATTCTGACACCTGGGCGACACAGCCAGGGACCATACACAGCACGGGCATTGATTCTTTCCCACGTTCAGGCGCACATTCGGCCCTAATACCGCAGAGGCGCGCAAGGACTCACCAGAGTGCCCACTTCTGTCCGACATCGCGGTGGGTACACCCAGCGGCGCCAACTAGTTCATGTACCCACTTATGTCTATATTTCGACCCACTTTCGTCCAAATTGTACTCACTTGTGTCCACTTACGGACGGCGAAAATCGAGCGGAAATCGACCTCCACGTCACCGCACGGCAGAACATCGAATAGCCTCGGAACGTCTCAGAACCTCCTGACACCGAATCCATGGCATCTTTCCTATCCATGACTGCCGACTACGGACTGACCGCGGAGGAAAATGTCATAAACATGCCAGGCCCCTTCGGTACCGGCACGGGAGGATACCAGACACGGGAAGATGCCCGCGGCAAGCCCGACAAGCAGCGCACTAACGGCAAACGCCACAAATAAATGCGTGACACACAACGGACAACAAAACCAACGGGCGCGCATACAGCAACAACACACACACGCGCGCCACACACACGAAAACACCAACCACCACAACGAGTGCACACCGACTCGCGAGGGCAGCAGCAGCATGTCGAGGCAGTTTGCCACGTAACCACATGATGGTATTCATATGCACAACATGCATCTATGGTGTACTCGAAGTAAAATCCGGCTCGATATCCCCTTAAATCTTAATCAATCAAGAGACGAAATTGGATACCGTTCGCTACGCTACGTCGTTCGCTGCTACTTTATGGATGGTGGGCTAAGGAAGAAGTAGGCCGCACATTGCGTACTCGGGAGTAACCATACGAGTTGGCATACGCATGGTTTCGTACATTGCATGCATACGAAGTACTTCGAAGCACTACTTGTTCAGAGATGCCGCGCTTAGGGTTGCGTGGTAAACTGCCTCGACATGCTGCTGCTACCCTCGCGAGTCGGTGTGCACTCGTCGTGGTGGTTGGTGTTTTCGTGTGTGTGGCGCGCGTGTGCGTGTTGTTGCTGTATGCGCATCTTTTTGTTCTGTATGCGCGCCCGTTGGTTTTGTTGTCCGTTGTGTGTCACGCATTTATTTGTGGCGTTTGCCGTTAGTGCGCTGCTTGTCGGGCTTGCCGCGGGCATCTTCCCGTGTCTGGTATCCTCCCGTGCCGGTACCGAAGGGGCCTGGCATGTTTATGACATTTTCCTCCGCGGTCAGTCCGTAGTCGGCAGTCATGGATAGGAAAGATGCCATGGATTCGGTGTCAGGAGGTTCTGAGACGTTCCGAGGCTATTCGATGTTCTGCCGTGCGGTGACGTGGAGGTCGATTTCCGCTCGATTTTCGCCGTCCGTAAGTGGACACAAGTGAGTACAATTTGGACGAAAGTGGGTCGAAATATAGACATAAGTGGGTACATGAACTAGTTGGCGCCGCTGGGTGTACCCACCGCGATGTCGGACAGAAGTGGGCACTCTGGTGAGTCCTTGCGCGCCTCTGCGGTATTAGGGCCGAATGTGTGCCTGAACGTGGGAAAGAATCAATGCCCGTGCTGTGTATGGTCCCTGGCTGTGTCGCCCAGGTGTCAGAATGGGGTTTTGAGTCGTTTGGAGGTTGCCTTGGGAGTGCGCGCGCGCGCTGGATATTCGAGAACCCACTTTTGTCCGAGAGTGGCGTGGGTATACCCACTTTTGTCCATTTCCCTTTTTTTTATTCATGTTTCATTTATTTTTTCGCCCCTGTATTCGAATCACTACAATTATATGGTCGGTACAATGCCGAGCAAACCTCTGAAACAACGACATCCTGTGCCCATGCATGATACACATTGCCAGTAGCTCAAGCTCAAACCCATCTCCGCCCGCGGCTTATCATCTCTACCATCTCTACCCAGGGTCGTCAACATTCCAAGTTGCACGAAAACATGTAAGCGAGAACTGTCAAGGTACTTTATATTGAAACAATCTTCGAATTGAAACAATACATGCATACCCTTCCGAACGTCGTTCTGTGTATTGAATGTCCCCCCGCATGCCCTCGCCCATGACCGTCAGCGACGTCGATCATGCAGAACACCGACAATCCCCGCAGTAAACTACTTTTGTTGTGAGGAAAAACAACTCAGCCGGAAGCAACAGCTTCACGTAGCGGCAGCAGTGTTAATGTCCACACGCACTGGTAGAAACGACCGTCTCTCCCGACACGAAACAAAGAACTCCCCCCCAC